ACACAAACCTGTTTAACATATCTCGTAAAACATCATTAATGAGACATTGAAAAACTGCAGGAGCATTAGTTAAACCAAATGGCATGACCAGGTATTCAAAATGACCTAAGGGAGTGTTAAATGCTGTTTTCCACTCATCACCCTTCTTGATCCTGACCAGGTGATAAGCATTACGGAGATCGAGTTTGGTAAAAACAGTAGCACGATGAAGTGAGTTGAAGGCTGAATCAATGAGAGGAAGTGGGTATTTGTTTTTAACAGTTATATCATTTAGTCCTCTGTAGTCTATGCAGGGTCTCAAAGTATTGTCTCTTTTCTCAACAAAAAAAAACCCTGCCCCAACGGGAGACGAAGAGGGGCGGATAAGTCCAGCAGCTAGACTCTCGGAAATGTAGGTCTCCATAGCCTCTCTTTCTGGTTTGGAGAGGTTATACAATTTGCTGGAGGGCAAAGTAGAACCAGGAATTAGATCAATTTGACAGTCATAGGGACGATTAGATGGGAGGGAGGAGGCACGGCTCTTGGAAAAAACCTCCTTTAGGTCATGATATTCTGGTGGCACTAGCGACAAATCTATAGGCCTAGGAGGAGGTGGAAGAGGAGAGTCATTGGGCGGAGCCGCAGCGTGTAAACAATGAGAATGACAAAACAAACTCCAATTGACGATCGATTGGGATGACCAGTCTATCTGCGGATTATGAAGTTTTAGCCACGGGAGGCCCAATACCAGGGATGATGACGATGAGTGCAAAATGTAAAAACTGATAAGTTCACAGTGATTACCAGAAACCAGCAGGGACACTGGAACAGTCCGATGAGAAACACAAGCTAACACTCTACCGTCAAGGGCAAAAACTTTCTTGGGTTCAGAAAGGGCTTCAGTGGGAATGTTAGCTTGATTTACTAATTCAGAGTCAATGAAACTTTCATCAGAACCCGAGTCCACTAATGCTTCAACAGGCAGGGTCACAGTCTTAAACACAACAGTACCTCGGAGGATGATTCGTTTGGCGGAGGGTTCCACAGGCATATGGCTCACCAGCGCCCCTCCGGAAGCCGATGAGCCTTGTCTTTTGGTCGAAACGGGCAAGAGCGCAGGCTGTGGCTGGACTGGCCACAGTAGAAAAAGAGGCCCTCACGCTGGCGCCGCTGACGCTCCTCCGGGGTGAGACTCATCCTCCTGAGTTGCATGGGCTCCTCACCGGGAGTAAATGACTCCGGACGAGGGGCGGTAGATGGATCCGGGAGCTCATGCCGGGGCGGAGGGGTCGGGACAAAGGATCTAAATAAGCCTGCTCTTTCCCTGCGTCTCTCTCTGAGGCGATTATCCAGTTTAATAGAGAGTGAAATCAATTCTTCTAAATCAACGGGTTCATCCCTAGCTGCCAGCTGATCCTTAACGTCATCAGAAAGACCCCTAAAGAAAATACCCCGTAACGCCTTGTCGTCCCACCCACATTCAGCCGCTAAAATACGAAAATCAATGGAATATGATGAAACGGAACCTGTGCCCTGACGTAGAGAAAGTAACCGACTACTACTCTCTTTCCCCTGTAGAGGATGGTCAAAAACTCAGAGCATTTCTGTAGTAAAGGAGCTGATAGAATAACAAACAGGTGAATTATTGCTAGTTAAAGCTACGGCCCAAGCTGAAGCTTTCCCAGACAGAAGGCTCATAACAAAGGCTACTCTGGACCTATTGGACGAATAGGTCAGCGGCTGTTGGTCAAATACTAACGTACATTGATGCAAGAACTGCTTACACGACCCTAACTCTCCCGAGTACCTGCTAGGGGTGGGAATGAATGGCTCACGGGGCTGTGCAGACGGAAACACCACCGCGTGGGTGGTCTGGAGCGAAGTCCCGGATGCTTGGTCTGAGTGTGGAGCTTGAGCTTGATCCGTAGGTCTCGGCGTAGACAGACGAGCTGATACATCATCCAACCGGCCGCTGAGCTGATTCATGCCCACAGAAAGGCTTTGAAGGGTGGACATGATCTCGTCCAAAGCGACCCCATGTTGCTTCATAGTCACGCCTTGAGAGGAAATGGCACGTTTAAACTCCTCTGTCTCAAAAAAAACCTGCTTCAGTCTTTCTGCCTCTGCGGGGTCCATATTTGGCCAGAGAATTCTGTTACGGTTTGCTAGTGGACCCCAACGCAGAGACGGAGGCAAGGTGGCAGGTTCGAAAAAAGATTTAATCTCTTAGGCAGACGAGACAGGAAAACTGGCCGACTTGAAGGACGGAGCTTGGAGCTTGGAGCTTGGAACCCTGAGGAACAAACATAGAAAATTCTCTGGCAGCGTGGTGCTGAGACAAGCGGGCTTAAGACTGCAGTCTTGATTGCGCAATCTGGTTCAGGTGTCCAGACTGCAGTCTTGATTGCGCAATCCGGTTCAGGTGTCCAGACTGCAGCACCAGCTGAAGTCAGCCACGCCCCCTGTCACACACTGCTGCAGGGAAACAGAAAAAGGGGAAACACCAAAACAACCCCGAACATGACAGTAGACGCCAGCCAGACGTACTGTGTCCCTGACAGGACAATAATGGACAATTTGTTTTTACTCAGAGACATCATAGACTTGTCAAAATTCCAGGAATTAGACATTGGTTTGTTTTCTCTGGATCAAGAAAAGGCTTTTGATAGAGTTGATCATAAATACTTATTTAAAACACTTAAAGCATTTGGTTTTGGTACAATTTTCATTTCATGGATAGAGTTGTTGTACTCAAGGGTCACTGTATTATTGAAGGTAGGAGGGGGACTCAGCAGACCGGTTTCTGTTCAGAGAGGAATCAGGCAGGGATGTCCTCTTTCAGGGATGCTTTATACTTTGGCTATTGAGCCCTTATTACATCAACTCAGGAAAAATCTATGCGGTTTAAACTTAACAGAAAAAGGTAGCTCATCAGTTAGGTTGTCAGCATATGCTGACGACATCACAGTTTTTATAGGATGTAAAAATGATGTTAGAACGCTGGAACAAAAACTTAAATTATACGAGCAAGCGTCTTCAGCCAAAGTTAATTGGTCAAAATGTGAGGGTCTTTTACTGGGAGAATGGAGAAATAAAGAGAGGCCAACATTACCAGCAGGACTGCAGTGGAGCACAGAGGGGATGAAGGTGCTTGGGGTATACCTAGGGAGTGAAGACTTTCAGTTAAAAAACTGGGAGGGCATAGGTGAAAAGATAGGTGCCCGATTGTCTAGATGGACATGGGTCCAGCCCCAGTTGTCATACAGGGGGAGGACTTTGGTTGCCAACAGTCTAGCTGCCTCCATGCTCTGGCATCGGGCCACCGTTCTAGTTCCTCCGGACAAAACAATTCAGCAGATACAGAAGGCACTGGTGGACTTTTTATGGGATGGCTACCACTGGATTAGATCGGCTGTGCTGTTTTTACCTGTGGCGGAAGGGGGTCAAGGGCTGATTGACCTCAGGAGCCGCATAACTGCGCTTAGGCTCCAGACAGCACAGAGATATCTGTATAGAACGCAGCAGCCCTGGACTCAAACGGCATCCCTGCTGCTGCAAAGAGTTGGAAATCTGCAGTACGACAGGCATCTTTTTCTATTGGACCTGGACAGAATGGATATCACTCAAACCTCCAGTTTTTATCAGTCAGTGTTGGGTGACTGGAGAACAGTTTTAAAAAGTAAAAGGGACTGCTCAAAGGTGTATGGGATGGTAAGTGATGAACCTTTGTTCCATAACCCAGCAATAAAGAGCAGAATTCTGGCCTCTGAGATTGTCCGAAGGGTTTTCACGGCAGCGGGGATGACAAAGCTGGCAGGACTGAGGGCAGACGGACAGTGGAAAAGTGCTGCAAAGATTTGTGAGGACACTGGGACCAGATCTTTACGCCTCATGGACAGGCTGGTGCAGGAGGTTATGAATGGACTTCCCGGTTCCTTCAGGAGGGCACTAGAGTCAGAGGAGCATCTGGAGGGCTTTCCAGAGCTGTCCATCAGTGCTAGAGTGGAGGAGCAGGAGGAAGGAGAAGGGCTGCTGCTGTCTTTCAGAACCCCAGAGCTGTGGAACTTCTCTGAAACGCCAAAGAAGAGCCTATATGAGGTATCTGTAAAAGTCCAGAACAGAGCGATGCTGGCAGGGGTCAAAGAGTCGAGGTGGTGGTATGTTGGCACCGGGTTCGTCTCCCAGGGGCAGCTGGAGGTCCCTGTACAAGGCCCCGCTGGAGAAACGCAGTGCGGATCTCCAGTGGAGGATTGTGCACGGGGCCGTGGCCACTAACAGACACGTGGCACGTATCGATCACAGGGCAGGGAGTCAGTGCGCGTTCTGTCAGGGGGAGGAAACCTTAGAACACTTATGGTTAGGATGTCCCAGAATAGGTTCCCTATTTTCTCTTTTAAAGCGGTGGGTGGGAGCATTGGGACTTTGTTTTAACAGTGAATTGTTTATTTTTGGGCCCAGATACGCGGCAGCACAACGGGGAAGAATTTGTTTGGTTAATTTTTTGTTGGGACAAGCTAAAATGAGCATTTGGTTGAGTAGGAGGAATAAAATGAGGGGGGCAGGTTCTGCAGATGCTGTGCTGATGTTTAGAGGTTTGGTGGCGGCACGTATCAGGACTGAGTTTGCTTATTATAGGATGGTGTCAGACCTGAATGAATTTATTTGTATGTGGGGAGTTGGAGATGTTTTATGTCGAATAGATGATGACATGCTTATTCTGAGTTTTTGAGGGGGGGGGTTCTTATTTGTTTATTTCTGATTTTGTTTATTTATTTATTTTTTCTTTTTTTTCTTTCTTTCTTTCTTCTTTTGGGTTTTGGGGCTTTAGGGGGGTTGTGTATGTATGTATGTATCTAATTTATTTATGAGTATTTATTGTAAATAACACAATGGACCAATAAAAGACAGTCCATGGTATCTATCTATCTATCTATCTATCTATCTATCTATCTATCTATCTATCTTAAAAGTTACAGTTTCAAATTATAGTATGAATAAAGTGCAGCCTGGCCAACTTCAACTCAACGACATACTTGTGACCGGATGCCTTGCAGGTTTTCCTTCTGAGTGGTCCAAAAATGGAGTTCGACACTGGGGCCTGGGTGGTCTCCCTGGAGCAGTAGCATACCAGAGTCCTTCTTTAACACATCCCAGATCTGTCCAGACCATTGAACTATTAGAGTTTCTATAGAGTATAACAAGCCACGGTCAAGTGGCCATCCAGTGGGGCTGCAGGGGACAGAGAGTGGATAAAAATAGTTTTTTTAACTGTTGAATACAAAAGGACTGTTGGAAAGCTACAAGTAGGAGTGAAAATATCACTGGCAGTTGTGTGCAACCACAGTAAAGTTGTAGCTGCTATTACTTTGACATAACTTAAAAGTGAGTTGTATGTTTTATATGATAGTCAAGAGACCAGTTTTAGGGTTGCCAAACAAAACAAAACAAAACATGCTAAACACAGTATCAATGTCAAGCATTATGATAATATTTATATATAACATCATTATATATTATTTATATGTAAACAAAAAGAAAACAAATGATAAAATTAAAAGAAAAAAAAAAGCAGACTCCTCTGAGTAGGATGCAGCCCTCAGGAATATACAAGCTAGTGTTCATTTGAAATATGTTTGTGCATGTGATAATGCCATGGTAGATTTTAATGGTCTGACAACACATTGTTTAGTTCCCCCCCTGAAATGTAAAACTTATACATTTGTTAAAAATAATTGAAAATAAATAATACATAAATATTGTGTTAATGATGCATATTAAACCTGACTAGCAACATAACAGCATACAATTCCTCAAACATCCAAAATATTTTAGCAAATCAAAAAAATACCAACAGAATTTTGTTGTTTATATCATGAGGTAAACAACTGGTGCCTGGAAATGAGGTTCCTTTTGTATTCCCTGTAAATCCTTTCATTAGTCTTAGCTAATTCCCAACAATTTAATAAACAATATTGTTTAATATGTCGAACTTTGAATCAAATTACTTGCAAGATGCAACTTTCGGTTACAAATCGAGCACAATGTTTGTTTGTTGTCGGTTGTTCGTAACACAACAGTGTCAATGCCCCAAACCAAATAACAAGAAGTTAAAAAAAAGAACATTTTGAGACAAAATCAGGGGAGTGTTGTTTCTGAACAAAATGTTTGAGGAGCACGTTAATGATCTGCCTTTTTTTCTTTTAGTTGTTTTTCATCCAGATAATTTTATTCCCATTATGTTCACAAAGTGAACGTTACTCTGTGGTAATGGTAAAATGAGTGGGAAGTTAAAAAAAATTTTGTTAACAGACAACCACAAAATCCTCTCCAAACTGGTCTTCCACATTAGCCTGTTAATCATAAAACAAATCTAAATGCAGGTTTTGATCTCAGACTATAAAAATATTTGTGACAAATCTAAGTTCCCCACTGCAATATCACCACAGAGCATGCAGCCAGTATACTGTTCTGTATGACTGTTGGTTGATGAATATATCAAGTGTCCAAAGGTAATGTTAAAAAAAAACTCACTTCTAGCTTAAACTCCAGGATAAATGAGTCTCGTAATTTGTTTTGGATTTTAAGTAGAAAAAGATAAGTAAATGCACTCTGTGCCTGTTGACCATACACACCTCAGGAGGATGTCTTGGGACTGTGCCCTCTCCACACACAGAGGCAGGGGCAGCAGTGTCCGTCCCTCAGCGTGGCCTCTCAGAGTCACCACCTTGCTCCTTAGCCTCTCTAAGTGCCTGTGGATGTCATCAGACACCACCCCTGGCCAGTCCTCATGGTTAAGTCCATTGGATAGTACACACACCAGAATCTGTATGGAGGCAGACGCCCTTTTTAAAAAAGAAAATTAAATGTGCCCAGATGTCCTGTGTTAAACACAGCACTTTCGTCACATGCATTTTGAATTTTCATGTAGGGAAAGCACAGATAGAATGAATAATTGTTCAGTTAAGCAGTCAAAGGATGCCACATCGTGTGCAAAAGCAGTACATTTTGTGAAAAATTCAAAATGCTTCCTGTGAAAAAGTTCATTATTGATGCTTAAATGCTCATGTGTCCAAAGACAACTTATATGGAATTAGTTATACACATGGCTCACACATGCTGTCTAACCTCAGAAATGACGACAGGTAGGTGCTCCATTGGATATCCAGGCACTTCTCCCAACCGCAGCTGGTGTCGGAATTTTTGGCGGTCGATTCTTTTTACGCCTTTCTTTAGCACACACAGTAGCTTGGTCTTCCATGGTGGAGAAGTCTTCACAGATGCAAAAATAGTAGGAATGCTTTCAACAGCATTGAAAGCCCCAGAAATAAGTAATGACTTATTTCAAAAATAAGTCAGTTAGACAGAGTTTTAACTGCAAACTGATGAGGTATAGATGCTCAGTGTGTATACTTAACATCACCTTTTTATTTTTTGTATTTTTTAGAAGCTTTAGCTAATCATCATATAATTACTTGTATGAAACAGTGTGTGCACGTATGTGTATTGATGTGAGTAAGAAACCCATTTTTGTGCAACTTTTGTGATGAATTGTACTGCACCATCTAATCACATTTTCACTGTGTCTTTACCTCAGGGATATTACACACACCTAGCAAATGAAAGCAATAAACAAACTCTGTCGTTATATATTTACTCCAGGCTATTACTGTAATTGAATTTTCTGCTAAATTGACTCGAAAACCTGAATGCAGGGGGGAAAGGTACATATTTGTAAGTGCAGGTGTCGGACCACACTTTTGGATTCTGCCGAATTTACCACTTTTGTGTGAGTGTACTTCTTACTTGGGCATCCCCTGCGTGCAATGTTCCTCCTGGTCCAGTGAAGAGCAGGAGCCTGTTGGTCCAGATATGGTCCAGAAAATCCAGTATAATCTTCTGGTTCTCCTCCGCACCAATAAAGCGGTTCCATTTATCCGTCTTCACTCGCAGCACACAGAAAGCCTGCTCCCGAAGGAAGTCAACTCTTTCATCTGACAACACCACCCCAGTTTTAAGAGAGGTCTCCTGAGGGACACGTACTCCCCCATTCCCTCCACTGCTCCTACTTCCACTGTTACTTTTGGTCCCCTTTGCCTCTGCCATCAAAACTCTGGTGGCAGGAAGAGGAGGACATAAACTGCTACCTGATTCGGTGTTTCAGGGAATTCAAAACCACAAAAGTCTTGAATAGAAAGAGACGGCAGATAGAAATGTACTCAAAATTAACATGCTATTGATAAATGTTTGCTCAAAGATTACAAAGAATACTTCTGTTCTCCTAACATTATTTCCTGTCTGTTCTCTGGTCAGCAGGGAAAATGATACACTCCTGAATGGGCAGGTGCTTTTGCCTCTGTGACGACATGTATGGACTGTCTTAATTTGCCTAATTGGGAGTATTGTGATGCCTGTAACCCCATCCAGGTAACTTGATCCTTCTGAGCAGATCTTACAGTAGAGAATCCCTCAGGACTACAGATGAAGTGCACACACAGTAAGACTTTTATTCATGTACTGTAGGTGTAAGGTGTTTTTGAATATATCAGAAGCTTTCATATGAATCATATTTTTGTTTCTTATTTTTGTTTGATTGATTTTCTCTTCCTTCAAATAAAGCTTAGGGGGTTCTTTCCCTTTTGGATAGTGTTTCCATGAACAAACAGCTGAATGAATTCAAATGAAGCAGGAACTGGGTTTATCCTCTTCCACAAACCAGTGCAATGTGTAACATCACCACCAGGGGTCAGTTTGACACAGTGTTGCTGACTGTATTCTTCAACCATAATCCAAAGTGACCCTAGCCATGACATCCTATTACATATGTTATTCCATTTATATAAAAACATGGAAAAATGGGACATTTCTGTAACTGTGTTACTTGAAATATCAGAGCAATGATTGCACTTTTAAAGATACTTCACTTTTTGAGTTTAACATTAATACATAGGCATAATCATATCCCAAATTAAAATGGAGTCATTGGAGAGGCATTAGCTATTCTTAGGTATCTGACATTTAAGTGCATTGTTAGCTTATAGTCCTACATTTGGCCCATAGTTGGGGCATATTCACAAATGTCTTAGCAACACAGGGACTCTGGAAGCACTCATGTCTTTAACAGAGGGCTTATCTAAATCTAAATGTTTAATGGCAAAGGAAACTCCTCACATTAAGTAATCCTTAAGAGTGTATGAAGAAGGTTTAACAATTCCCCATTATGTCACAGAATATTTTTTCAATGGTTATTTCAATGGTCACTCTGCTGGATGGAAGTGATGAGTGATTCATCACCTTTAGATTTATGCATATTAAATGCTTTATACATATTTTGCATCAACATGAACACTATTTTCAGTGAGGATTTTTGTATCATTCAAAACACTGACCATCACAGCCAGTAATCCATTACAGTTCTCTTAAATACGTTTTTTCTGTCTCACTGTATTTATATTTTTGTTTTCCTACGTGATTATTCTCATTCACACTACAGCGTGCTCAATCCAGATAAAGTGAAATTCATCATGTTGAACGAGAGAGCAGATTTAACAAATGTCTCTGTTACTGTGTGCATGCAAGAGTATTTGATTAAACGTGTGGGGCTTGCATTTGTATGCCCATACAGAGCTAAAGGCTATTGAGGGTGTCCCTTGGGTGTCTCCTCATGCTGTTTCTAAGCTCATTTGAGTTGGCTGACAGCAGGAACATGACTGCCCATCTCTCTGACCTCATGCCCAATGTCAGCTCTGCTCTGTAGGAATGAAGGGATTGTGGCCAGAAAAAGAGATCGTAGGACAATAGGGACGTAGGGGGTGGAGGGGTGACAAGGAGAAAAGGAGAGGGAACTAGGAGAAACAAAAGGAGGAAAAAAGAGAGGATGTGTGCATGTGTGGAGAATGCGAGGCAGTAAGCTCATGGAATACAAATTAAATGAAGGAGCGGAAGAAGAATAGCATAGAGAAATGCACTTGATGATACATACTATTGTGTTTTACTGAACATTTCTGAGTATTCGGTGCAGAATGAGTGAAGGGGAAAATATATCTCCAAGCAATGTTAAATGCCCAAGTCTTGACTATAACTGAATTGTCACCAGGATATAAGATGTGATATTTTCTCCAACGTAGCACCTTAAAAACTTTTAAAACCATTTTTGTTTAGTTTCGTAGTTTTTTACCAAAAGCATCTAGCTCAATTATTTTTCCCTCCTCTGTTTCTGTATCTTCCTTGGGTTCTCCATCACTCGTTGCCATGACTACATGTTGCTTGACAATCAGGCTGCCATTCTAGAGTCCTGAGCGTGAGCCTGCCACACTCTCTTTCTCACTCCTCAACCACTCCTTTACTTCTGTCCTTATCACCCATTCCCTGTCCTCAGACAGGAAGAAATTATACTTACAAGAGCTTAAGGTAATTTTATCATTCAGCCACACAGACAAAAATAATGACCATCATCTTCTTTGGCAGTGGGAGCAACAAACAAGTCAACACTTTGGTACTACTTACTGGAGTCTTTCTAATTTTGTCTTATAGTGTCCATGGAAAGTGAACGATTCACCTATGGAGGTGGCAGATGAACTCAGGGTGGGGAGAAATGTCCGAAAAAGAAACACAGCAAAAAAGAACATCACTAGAGAATGCCAAAATTAAGACACTGATGAACATAGCAGATGTACCATTACAGACACACACACACATGCACACACACACGCACACACACAAACACACGCACACACGCACATCCACAGGAATATCATTTCAGAGCTGCTCTCCTGTTATTACCTGACTACCCTTGAATCCCCACCATGGCTGGTAAATGCCATGTATGTGTGTCCAGATGGTGCTGGACAACCGTTCCTCCCAGGGTGGATGAAGTAAATGGAGCGATTACAGTAATGACTTACACACACATCTGTTTCAAACCACTGCATTGCTGCCAGCCCTTTTGGACACACAATCTCAAAAGCACCACTGAGATCTGTTGGTGAGAGCGGGGAAGCCGCGTAATGATGCGCATTTCTGTGCATTTCTGTGCAACGTTTGAAAAGATTGGCTTTAGAATAGAAACTGACTGAAAGTTGTTTTTGATTCAATAATTTTTCTTAATCTAGAAAACCAATCATTGTAGCTACTGGGTAAAATTCGTGTTTCTTCCTTTATTTTCATTCAGCTCTGAACTGTCCTCTTTTTTTGCACCACTCATCTCCCATCCTTCTTCCTCTCTTGTTATGTGTTTTGGGTGTTTTTCCCAAACCTAAAAGGGGTCTAGAGAGTTTAAGCCACCTCCACCTGTGGGTGGAGATGGTTTATTTGAGAATCTTTTCCTTATCTTTCCATCCTTTGCTCTCCAAAGGTCTTCTCCCTGTGTGGACTGCAGTGATATTTGAGAGGTTGGTTTGTACACAGAAAAAGGGGTTAAAGTACACAGCCAACCTTTCAGGATGTGTGTGTATTTAATTCCAAGGCTTACTCTCCCCAGAGTAAAGATACATGTGCGTTTGTGGTTTTCATTTGTGGGGACCCTGGCACTCAGTGCTCAGAAACGCTGATTCAACGCTGACCACTTCCAGTATAATGTTCACTTAGACTGTATGAACTGTGAAAGAGAACACCCGTTACTTCACTGGCAGAGTACTGCAGTGTCCTCTCCAAAAAGTGCAGTTACAGTATTTTAGGATGGAAAAAGCGCACACACAGACACACACACACCTGTACACCGCATTGCTCTGTGCTTTTGCAGACACTAGTAGCTTCCTCTTTCAGCCAGCTCACCTGCAGATGCTCCCAAGAGACACATTTAGCTTTGCAGAGAAAAAGAGATGTTGTGGAATTTAAAGTTGGGTACCCTCTCCAAACCAATTGGGTTTCTGTTGGTTTTAAGTCTTGTTTAATTCCTGCAGAGGGGGCTGTTTCTCCATCAGCCTCCAAAGACACTTTTCTTGGTTTACCAAGTCTCTCATGTCTCATATGCTTGTTGCCTCTCTATGGCCACACAAAAAGAAGAATTATTTGTAGTTTGTGTCAAAAGCTTAATTGACTATTGTATAAATCTACTGGAGAGATGTCATAGACATAGACATGATTTTTAAGATGGCATTAGAGGAGCATATTTGCACAGACTTACACCAAGTGTCCATTTTGTTTGGTAATATTTGTTTAGATTTATTGTCACCTGCTCTCCTTTTGAGATATTGGAACTATTAAACAATAGGGAAGAGAACAAATAGGAAGAGTTTGCACTTGATGTTACTTTAACAAAATTGGGTATCTTGAGCAGAGCAGTACTTCTGTAAGCTACAACTTTGATTAGATAAAGAGAACCGTCTTGTATCCTATGGCTTTTTCATGCTCCGTGGTTTAGCCAAATGAGGGGTGAGGGAAAAAAAGACTGTTTCTGTGATTCCATGGAAATTTGTCTGAGAACAAAGCAGAGAATTAGCAACAGTGACACACTGGCTGTACCACCATCTGCCTTTTAAAACGCGGGTATTACCTTCTCTGATTGGCTGCTACTGTGCTCAGTCGTTACATGTGAGGATGTGCTAATGAAGGCAGACAAAGAAGAAATGATAGACTGAGATTTTGCTCTTTTGGATATAATCATGTGGCAAAGAGACTGATTGTCTTTAATTTCAGTCCTATATAATTACAACTGTTGGTGTGGCCTGCAGTCAGTGCAGAGCCACATGCAGGTTAACCACAGCATGGCCCTTGTTTGGACAACACATGTATTCTTCTGTGGTTATAATATTAATAGTGGACAGTTTTGTACTGATCTGGTTTGGGAAAATATTGGTTATTATTTGCTGACTTTATGCCTCATGGTTGACTGGTGGCTGATGAACATGTAGGGAATTTATTTCAATCCACATAATTAATTACTATAGTGTGAAACACAACAGCAGGATGTATGCTTGTTTTGACACAGGCATGAGACCCTTCTAAGTGAATGATGACCTCAATACTAATTTATTGTGCAGATATCTCAATAACCAATGTTTGATTTCTCCTCCTTTTCAGTTTTAACATTTCCATACACTCTGACTGATATCAACCTCCAGGAAGATGTTTTAAAATTCCTATTGTTTTAATATGTATCTCCTGAA